CTTGTTCATCCAATGCATCTGACAAATTATCAACCTATTCCTCTAACACATGTAAATCTACTTCCTCTGACACGGGTTCATCGAATACCTCTGACCCATGTCCATCTACGTCCTCTGACACGTGTTCATCGACTACCTCTGACACGTGATCAGACTATACATATGACATGTGTTCAACCTATACATATGATACGTGTTCATATAATACCTCTGACACTTGGTCAGCCTATCCATACGACACTTGTTCATCCAATGCATCTGACATGTGTTCATCTAAGGCCTCTGACACGTGGTCATTCTGCTCTTCTGACACGTCTTCATCTAATACCTCTGACACGTGGTCATTCTACTCCTCTGACACGTGTTCATATAATACCTCTGACACTTGGTCAGCCTATCCATACGACACTTGTTCATCCAATGCATCTGACATGTGTTCATCTAATACCCAAGACATCTCACTCGTGTTGAACCTAAACATTTGACACGTCATCATATACCTCTGGCACGTGTTGAACCTAAACATTTGACACGTGTTCAACCCATACTGACACATGTTCATCTAACCCCTCTGACAAGTTGTCAACCTATAAATATGACACGTGGTCAACCTATACATATGACACGTGTTCATCTAATACCTCTGACACGTGGTCAACCTATACATATGACATGTGGTCAACCTATACATATGACACGTGTTCAACTTACACTTCTGACACGTGGTCAACCTATACATATGACATGTGTTCATCTACTACATCTGACACGTGGTCAACCTATATATATGAAACGTGTTCATATAACACCTCTGACACGTGGTCAACCTAAACATATGACACGTGTTCATCCAATGCATCTGACACGTGTTCATTCTATTCCTCTGACACATGTTCATCCTATTCCTCTAACACGTGTTCATTCTATTCCTCTGACACGTGTTCATATACTTCCTTTGACACATGTTAATCTAATTCCTCTGACCCAATTCATCTACCTTCTCTGATACGTGTTCATCTTATACTTCTGACACGTGTTCATCTTCTTCCTCTGACACATGTTGATCTAATTCCTCTGACACATGTTCATCTACTTCTTCTGACACGTGTTCATCTACTTCTTCTAACACGTGTTCATCTTATACTTCTGACACGTGTTCATCTAATTCCTCTGACACATGTTCATTCTACTCCTCGGACACATGTTCATCTAACACCTCTGACACGTGGTCATTCTACTCCTCTGACACGTGGTCATCTAACACCTCTGACACGTGGTCAACCTATACATATGACACGTGGTCAACCTATACATATGACACGTGTTCATATAATACCTCTGACACGTGGTCAACCTATACATATGACACGTGGTCAACCTATACATATGACACGTGTTTATCTAACACCTCTGACACGTGGGCATTCTACTCCTCTGACACGTGTTTATCTTATACCTCTGACACGTGGTCATTCTGCTCCTCTGACACGCGTTCATCTAACACCTCTGACACGTGGTCAACCTATACATATGACACGTGTTCATATAATACCTCTGACACGTGGTCAACCTATACATATAACACGTGTTTATCTAACACCTCTGACACGTGGTCAACCTATACATATAACACGTGTTTATCTAACACCTCTGGCACGTGGTCAACCTATACATATGACACGTGTTTATCTAACACCTCTGGCACGTGGTCAACCTATACATATGACACGTGTTCATATAATACCTATGACACGTGATCAACCTATACATATGACACGTGTTTATCTAACACCTCTGACACGTGGTCATTCTGCTCTTCTGACACATGTTCATCTAATACCTCTGACACGTGGGCCTTCTGCTCCTCTGACACGTGTTCGTCTAACACCTCTGACACGTGGTCATTCTTCTCCTCTGACACGTGTTCATCTAACACCTCTGACACGTGGTCATTCTGCTCTTCTGACACGTGTTCATCTAATACCTCTGACACGTGGTCATTCTGCTCCTCTGACACGTGTTCATCTAACTCCTCTGACACGTGGTCAACCTATACATATGACATGTGTTCATCTAATTCCTCTGACACGTATCATCCTATTCCTCTGACACGCGTTCATCTAACACCTCTGACACGGGGTCATTCTACTCCTCTGACACGTGGTCATCTAACACCTCTGACACGTGGTCATTCTACTCCTCTGACACGTGTTTATCTTATACCTCTGACACGTGGTCATTCTGCTCCTCTGACACGTGTTCATCTAACACCTCTGACACGTGGTCAACCTATACATATGACACGTGTTCATATAATACCTCTGACACGTGGTCAACCTATACATACGACACTTGTTCATCCAATGCATCTGACATGTGTTCATCTAATACCTTTGACACGTGGTCAACCTATACATATGACACGTGGTCAACCTATACATATGACACGTGTTCATATAATACCTATGACACGTGATCAACCTATACATATGACACGTGGTCAACCTATACATATGACACGTGTTTATCTAACACCTCTGGCACGTGGTCAACCTATACATATGACATGTGTTCATCTAATTCCTCTGACACGTATCATCCTATTCCTCTGACACGTGTTCATCTAATGCATATGACACGTACTCAACCTATTCTTCTGACAATTGTTCAACCTATACATCTGACACGTGTTTATCCAATACCTTTGACACGTGTTCAACCCATACCTATGACACTATTTCATGGTCTATAAGCTGGACCCATACCTTTGTTACAACGGAAAATCATGATATGCAATACTGAAAGAGAGAATATCCAATAAAAAAGGAATTTCAAAAAGTTATCTAATATAAAGACTTATCAGTTATAAGTTTAATACTGTCAAACTCGAGATGGAGAGACCTGATCTGTCCTGCCTTTGTCGGTTGTGTCAAACTGGAGATAGAGAGACCTGATCTATTCTGCCTTTTTCGGTTGTGTCAAACTCGAGATAGAGAAACCTGATCTGTCCTGCCTTTGTCGGTTGTGTCAAACTCAAAATGGAGAGACCTGATCTGTCCTGCCTCTGTCGGTTGTGTCAAACTCGAGATGGAGAGACCTGATCTGTTCTGCCTTTTTCGGTTGTGTCAAACTCGAGATAGAGAGACCCTATCTGTCCTGCCTCTGTCGGTTGTGTCAAACTCGAGATGAAGAGACCTGATCTGTTCTGCCTTTTTCGGTTGTTTCAAACTCGAGATAGAGAGACCTGATCTGTCCTGCCTTAGTCGGTTGTGTCAAACTGGAGATAGAGAGACCTGATCTATTCTGCCTTTTTCGGTTGTGTCAAACTCGAGATAGAGAGACCTGATCTGTCCTGCCTTTGTCGGTTGTGTTAAACTGGAGATAGAGAGACCTGATCTGTCCCGCCTTTGTCGGTTGTGTTAAACTGGAGATAGAGAGACCTGATCTATATTCTGCCTTTTTCGGTTGTGTCAAACTCGAGATAGAGAGACCTGATCTGTCCTGCCTTTGTCGGTTGTATGTCTCATTTTTTTAAAAACTTTTCGTTTTACTTATGTATATCACAGACATTGTAAGTAGATATCTGAAGACAAGCAATGATGTGTTGTCTTGTTAAATAAGCCTTATGACGGTCAATACCTAACCCATCCACAGTCAAAATGTGTGCATCATTCATGACAGATTTTGAAACCAGATGAAATTATTTGGAATGTATTCACTAATAAAAGAGACTGTTTCGTGGAATCAATAAGCATCAACTGCCTTTAGAATGTCGTCACACAATGTAGTGTTAAATCACTTATAACGTTGTCAACCAATTATTGTGTATCATACAATACCTATATTATAAACTGATTCGAGTAATTGAAAATCGTAAATTCTATAATAAAACAATTATAGCTTCAATTTCATCAACAAATCTCATCTATAAATTACTTCTTATTTGTTAATAAATGGATATACAATTCTGTTTCAATTTAACAAATGCTTTTAATAAGAATGATCTGACAGAAGCATATTACGTATAGAATTATTTTTGATTTGTAAGTAGTAAAATGGTATTACAATGACGGAGTAGCGGCAATGCGTCTCCGTTAAATGATACGTTCGGCCGTGCAGCGATCAGTATTAAGATCCGAATTTGACTTGTTTATTTATCCGATACAATTACATGTACCCTGACTCTAGACATTATCGAACAGTTTAAATACAGTAGGTAGACCGTGTGTTATCTACAACGTTAACATTCATAAATAGAGATAAGGTACATGTATCAAACAGGAGAAACTAAAGTCTGGATCACTTTGTGTCGGTTTATTTCAGTTTTACTTGTCAGAACAACTCTGTAATATCACGTATAGATTGGGAGTATAAGTTTACAGATAGAATTATAACTAGGACAGATGTCTGTTATATCACGTATAGATTGGGAGTATAAGTTTACCTATATAATTATAACTAGGACAGACGTCTGTTATATCACGTATAGATTGGGAGAATAAGTTTACCTATATAATTATAACTAGGACAGACGTCTGTAATATCACGTATAGATTCGGAGTATAAGTTTACCTATAGAATTATAACTAGGACAAACGTCTGTAACATCACGTACATATTTGCAGTATAAGTTTACCTATGGAATTATAACTAGAACAGACGTCTATAATATCACGTAGAGATTTGCAGTATAAGTTTACCGATATAATTATAACTAGGACAGACGTCTGTAATATCACGTATAGATTGGTAGTACAAGTTTACCTATTTAAGTATAACTAGAACAGATGTCTGTTATATCCCGTATAGATTGGGAGTATAAGTTTACCTATATAATTATAACTAGAACAGATGTCTGTAATATTGTAATGCGGGTTTACCTCTTCCGGAAATCGGGGTCCGGTCCCCGGATTTGATGTTAGACGCGGAAGCACGTTATCCGGTGTTCGTTGAGTTTTACCGCCATTAAAAGGTTGCACTGAAAATTCGGACGATCTTTGTGTTGTTATTGAAGAACACAGCCAGCCATCCGGCATAACAAGTGGTGTCAGAAGTGGGATTTTGCTTATACGCCCTGCAGGGAGTCCAAAACCCGTTTCTTTTTGTGTAATGTATTGCAATTCGTACCTCAAAGTGGACAGAGGTCTGCTACAGGTAATCGCGCTGCATTTTGTGTTTGTGGGTTGTTACTCGTCATTTAAATGATTATTTTGTAATTTGATTACTATAACTCATTTATTACTTTCACAAAGTAAGAGCACAATAACTAATTTACTTGGTTTGGGTAATTTACTGTTTTGTGTGCCTATATTTAGCCTTTGTTCTTGTACTTTCGTTTTACATGTATTTTCGTATTGGTGTTCACTGCGAACACTGGAATTGCTTCCAAACGAATCGTTCACTGCGAACGGTCAAACATTATCTTTCAGAGGTCGGAGAAGGATCTCGTAGACTACCTTAAATCACACAACGTGACAATACCACCTCACGAGGCTGATTTGACCCCCCTGCTAGTATCCGACAGCAAAGGAAAGCGCCTTGCAGTGGTACACAGGGGCAGTAATCCAAAACTTCCGATACAGTTCTCATGTAAAGGTGGTGCAAACTCATCAACCCTAGTATCCCTACTAAAAGAACAAATTCCCATCCTCAAGCAGAAATTTGGTAAACCTGTTTATGTTTATTTCTGGGCTGGTACATGCGACATAACCTCAAAGCAAGGCTGTTATATAAACATTTCTGGTACCTGTGTTAACACTATACACAAAATTATCAACTGCTACAAAAGAGCGAGGGACTACACAATAAAACAGGGGTGCAAAATTCAATTTATTGGAGTACCTGTTTATTCGGTTAGCCTTTACAATGATATCCAAGGTCACCATAATCCGAGCAAGTTTCTAGAAACAGATGCTGAAGTTGCCAGCCAGGTACACTTCTTGAACTCTCAAATTGAACTTCTCAACACAGAACTTGGTACCACAACACTTAAATTCAATGCTGATCTTCGTGATTGTCGAAAAAAGGGAAAAGAGCGATATTTCATAGAATTATTGGAGGACGGTCTCCACCCTGGGGAACTCTTGGCGAGGAAGTGGTTTAGGCGACTTGAATTAAATATTGTGAAAACTTGTTTTGTGGACCAGGACATT